ATATATATATATATATATATATACAGTATATATATATAAATAATCAATTATGAGAAAACCCATCTGGACCCAACAAATAGCCCATTTCTAAAAATGTGGAGTCCTTTAAAGTCAACTTAAATCTTAATACATGTTTCTGGCTTTGTTTCTGCACAATTCAGCATGTTACTTCAAAGAAAGAAAATGTTTCTCTTCGTAACCTTGAATCCGGTCAGACAGCATTTATGAGCAGCACGATCATCACAGTGTTGATATTGTTAACTAAAACTAAAACTTTTAAAAATATAAATAAATAATACACATTATTTTCAGTAAGTGATATTAAGATTAAATAAAATATAAACGGATGGAAAAACTCAGTCTCAAACAGTACTAAAATTACTAAACTCAAATCTGACAACAAAGTATTAAAACAATGTATTAAAAACACATAAGCACATAACAAAATAAATAAATTGAATACTTTTAGTTAAATTTTTTTTTAAAATAACAAAATACTGCATTGGCAACTAACTAAAATAAGTTTAAACCGGAGTACCAAAATTACTGAAGCCAAAACTGAAATAAAAATATATTAATATATAATAAATATATAAAATATACTATAAAACATTTAAAGCATATTAATAAAACATTTAAAAAACACATAAGCACATAACAAAATAACTAAAACTTAAATTAAAATGTAAACTGAAAATATAAAACAAAAAGCTAATTCAAATATTAATAAATAATATAATAGTATACAAGTAATACTAAAAGCACACTGGATGACTGGTGGTATTAGTTTCTCTCCTACTTCCTTCTCATGAGAGAGCAGGTTAAGTTTCTGAACAGCCGACATCATTGATGTGCAAACATGGATGATTAAAACCCTTCATCACAAACATCTTCTGTCTGTGTGTGAGAGTCAGCCTACAGGAAAATGACTCGTCTGTGTGTGTGTGTGTGTGTGTGTGTGTGTGTGTGTGTGTTTACCACCCCCTCACTAATTTCATTACGCAGAGGCAGATAAAGTGAGGGATTGAGAGCGAGAGAAACATCTGTTCATCTCTACATGCAGTATTTCATTTCATATTGTGTTTCTCAGCATCAACAGCTCTTCACTTCAGCTGTCGACACAAACACTCTCTCTCTCGCTCTCTCTCTCTGTGTATCTTTCTCTCTCCTCCTTTATCGTCAGTCTCTCTCATCTGTCTCATTCTTTCTCAGTGGTCAGTGGATGATGTCTTAATCAGGTACACCTATAATCCCTGTGGAGTGTGTGTGTGTGTGTGTGTGTGTGTGTGTGTGGACGCAGATATCTGTGGCGCCTGTGGCCTGTCATACGGTACAGTTTCCATTACTCTTTCACAAAACTGCTCCCTCACCGGTCTCTCATCACACTCGTGAATCTTACAACACCTGTCAAGAGCATGTCCAGCTCATACTCTATTTTAACCCAATATTTGGGGCAAATGTTGTCATGAAAATAATGATTTAAAACAAAAACTCTTAAATAGTCTTCATTTTGTTTAAGCAAACAATATATAAAGAATAAATGAATGAATGAACGAACGAACAAAGCCTATTTTAAAGTTTTTCGCATTAAATCATTATTTTCATGACATTAACTTTTGCCCAAAACAATAATGTAAAGTGTAAAAAACAATGATAAACATTTCAATTCTAAAGTATTTGATGTGTTGTCTATAGGTTATGCTGATTTAAATAAAAAGACATTACAGTAATAAGAATCTAATGAAAATCATCACAGAAATGAACTTCAAACTCAAAAGTAAAATGTTGCATTAAAGAAAAAAAATTATATATTTATGAATTTAAATATTGTTAGGATTGTTTACATTTCATATATTCATTTATAGACTACCATTTAAATGTTTGGGGTTTAAAAGAAATTAATACTTTTATTCAGCAAGGATACATTAAATTGATCAAAAGTGACAAAGAAATTATAATTTCAAATAAATGCTGTTCTTTTAAACTTTCTAGTCATTAAAGAATCATGGAGAAAAAAAATGTATCACAGTTTCCACAAAAATATGAAGCAGCACGTTATTTTAAATAGTAATAATATTTCACAATATTACTGATTTTACTGTATTTTTGATCAAATAAATGTATCCTTGGTGAGCAGAAGAGACTTCTTTCAAAAATATCACAGAATCGAACCGACCCCAAACTTTTGAACGCTGATGTCTTGTGATTTTGGGATGAAATATGATGTATATTCCATCATGGACATTAGTTGATTATAGCTTTAGTTCATTATATATTAGCAGGATGTTTATGGTTGCTAAGCATCCTCTTATCTTCAAATAGGTGTGTTTATCTGCATTTTATAAAGGCTCTAAACGCAGCTCATCCAGTCACAATATAGAGTCAAAACGACACACTCAGGAATACCTAGACAGCTTATTTCCCATCCCTTAGTGTTTGTGTGCTGCTCTACAATCACTCGCTCTCACAGATGTTCTCTCATCTGTATTTTTAGAAGAATCGTTTGAGGTGAATAATGTTTTGAAGGCTCTCCGAGAGTTTAATTCAAACCGCAGCCTGAAACATGCCCTGAGAGAGAGAAGGAGAGCGAGCGTCTTCCTCACACGCCTCTCTCTCCATCGCTGTTTGTTTGAACTGTGAAACGCTCTCTGAATCCTGTTAAAGGAGCAGACAAGAGGTCATGACCCCATCACATCTTCATTCAGCTCTCTCTTCAGCACTCCATCATTCTCATCAGTCGTTCATCATCATATAATCAGACGGGTCTGACCCGCTCACCTCGCCTCTCCGCTTAAACACAAACAGCTCTTAAAAGACATTTATGCTTCAGTACAAGTTAAAGGTGAAGTGTGTCATTAGTTCAATGTTAAAACTCGACGCTTGTAATTTGTGCCATTTGTGCCATGACTGATTGGTTCTCACTGAAAATGAAAGATTTTGATGAATAACTAGAAGTCTGTCTATCAAAGCAGTCCCACTGTTAAAATTATTAAAAATTTTCTAAATAAATAAATACTATTATTATCGTCTTAATATTCTTAAAACATTATAATATTTAAAATTATATAATGCATGTATATAGTATTTATTTTAAATTTTAAGATTATATATATATTTACACACACACAATATATATATATATATGTGTGTGTGTGTGTGTGTGTGTGTGTGTGTGTTAAATACATATCATACATATC